AMRASMAGMMGAGGGTAAGCTCTCACTCTCCTTAGTAAGATTGCTATTTGACGTAAATATCATTCCTGGTTTCWAAGAACTCTTATTTCTACATCTKTTACTATTACTACTAGTAAATAGGGCAAAAATGTAGTACAAAATCTGTTTGGGATAGATGATCACCATACTCTCTTGCAATTCAACTACAAGGAGAGCTGTTATTCCAAATCCAAGTGACAAATGGAAAGATTATGATGAATAGAAGGTCCCCAGCATATACTGGTTTGGTTGTTGTCTGAGTTTTAGTAGTGGTACTAGTAGTACCCAGTACTAGTACTAGTACTAGTACTAGTTGAGAAGTTACTATGCCCCCAGCACCAGAGAGATGGGCGGGCTCAGGAGGGACCAACAAAAACAAGTGACACAAAACAACTCTGATCCCATTCGCCAGCTAGTATGTCTTTACTGATACTATTACTTACAGATCCATGTCATTGGAAACCCATAAGATGCTATAGTGGCTTAAAACTTGAAACTTGCTCACCAAAGTTACAGTAGCTGGTGGCTGAATTTTGATGTAAGAGACGGGGCACGACAGAACCTACGTTATTCGTACCGTAAGGTACGTACAGTACGGTATCCTTCTAAATTTATGTAGACACGATTGACAACAATTGACAACAACACCTGATTGAATTTCGGAGATARAATATTTCCCCTTTTTGATCCTGTAATTGATCCAACAAAGTGGTACACGTGTAAGATACAAATCTCTCTGCTTTTCATTCGAAGCGGACTTCAACTTCGTTATCAACTACGGTATCAACGACGAAGAATAAAAACCTGACTGAAGCTGAACACAACCTGAAGAATTCCGTTCCGAGAAATCGACAACCGACCTCCTCTTCATATCAATAATATTATTCAACCCCAGCGAATGACCAAGATGAAGACCTACACACTACTTCTTGTTGCTGCCTTGTTTGGCGGTGTTGATGCATTCTCGACACAATCGCCTTTGAAGGCGCGATCTTGCCTGCAAGCCACTGCTACCGATGATGCCGACACCATTCCCACCAATCTGCCCAGTGATTGCGGTATGGACTATGTSCCCCTCGCTACCATGTTGGCAACCGGGAACTTTGAAGACGCAGATCAGGTGAGATCAAGATTAGGAAAATCGACGATTCGAGGGCACATAATAGTTTCGAGGCCTTTCTCTGTTCTCACCCTTTGTCCCGTCTTTCATTTTCGGTGATTTCATTCTGACAAAAACATATCCAAAAACTTTGAACATAATGATCAAATGAAAATTTGATGAACAACATAATTATTCGTTTAGTTCACTCGAGATGCTTTGATCGAAATTTCGGGAGCAAAGGAGAAGGGACGGGATTTCGTCTACTTCACAGATGTGAAGAGAATCCCCACCACAGATTTGGCTACCATTGAACGATTATGGTACAAGTTTTCTAAAGGAAAGTTCGGGTACTCTGTTCAAAAGAGACAAATGAGACTTGCCAAGGGAGACTTCGAAAAATTCTGCCAAAAGATTGGATGGACTACTCAAGACGGGGATGTCGAGCGCAAAAAGCGCTGGTTTGGTGCTTCGGAATTTACCTATGACCTCAAAAAGGCGCAGAAGGGTCACCTGCCTCTGACGAGTGCTCTCCGAGGAACATCCTTGATCAAAAATCTTTTGGAGCACCCTACTTTCGATAACGACGACTGGATGAAGGAGCCTTAAATGACGATTTTGTATCACTTTCTCTCGGCCTTGGATAACCAAGACGCGTTTTGTATTCCATTGTCATAATATTAAAAACGTTGTTTTCTGAAGAAAGAGAAAGAGATTATTCAGCTCCTTTTGTCGCGGCGTTGATAGCTTTAATTTTCGTGAAGAGTGCCAGGGATCACATGACGAACTAAAAATTTATCTGAAATGGCAGATGGTGACAACATAWAGTACGACACCAATTATTAGGCAATTCTCTAGTATATTGATAAGCATCTATTTTGACCGTCATGGAATTATCGAAACTTGTGTCGTCTTGCAAAAACTTCGARAGTCAAAAACTCGGTTAGTGTGAGTTGAAGTATACCGGTAGATTAGAAGAATGCCTGGTGTTTGACCTGTGAGTTCTACGATCGCAGGCATTCATTGAACCCCTCGACAAAATAGTATGGGTGCGACGAACAAATAAAGTTTTATTCAAACGATGAAGAAATACCTACTGCACGCAGTAGAAGAAACACTTTGGAGGAATGTGAAAAGACAGAGAGATCATGCATTGATAAGTAGACCTGCCAATAGGATCGGAACTAAAAACCAGGTATAGCGTAGGTCATAATACACCGTTTCAAATTTTTGTTCTACTATATATATTTCAAGCAGTAGCGGTTTCCCCTTCATCCTCCTCGTTTGCTTCCATAGCTTTATTGAACATTCCTGCAAGGCTATTCGCTGATTTGATCCAAGTAAAGACTATTCCAGAAAGAATTACACCGAGGTACTGCAGACAAAGGAATAAATACGTTGATGTGAGGCTTTCTACCATATTCCTAAATAGCCAGAACGAAATGGCGAGAAGTGTGTCACCATTAGCCATTCCGTCCGAATGTACATGATTGAACTTACCGGTGTTGCTGCTGAAAGACTACCCACACCAAAGATGAGAAATTGCTGGATCAACGCTCCTCCAGACTTTCCTAGCGGATTTCCAACAACATCAATAGCAGCTTTACCCTTTGTCTTGGACTCTTGATCAAGGGGAATATATGCCATTTCTTTGCATGGGTCAAAAAGGGAATATTTGGCACTCTTACTCAGAATATTTTGTGCTGCACCGACGATGACAGCTAGCATTAAAGGCGTAGTTCCAAGAGCAGCGGTCATGGGAGCAAAGAAATCGCTGAAAATATTGAGAGCAAAAAACAAGAGTCCAGTGATGCCCAAATTAACTGGAGTGACCAATGCAGCAACTCTCCACCCATATTTAGAGAAAATCGTTCKTCCCAGAAGCATCATGATCAACGTAACGAGTCCTGTAGTAGAAGAGAAGTTACCCATGAAGGCGGAATACGAATTAGGGTCGGGGAAAGCTTGCTTCAACTTTGCTTTCCAGCTTACTTCGACAATATTGATGCACATTCCGTAGGAAATCACGAGCATTGCAAGGTTWCGAATGTAAGGGCTGCTCATAAGGAACTTGGCAGATTCCTTCATAGACATTTTGGGTTTTTTCTTCTTGGTTGGCTTTGGAGAAGTTCCCTTGTTCTTTGCGAGGGTCGGGACGATGTTTCGTTGCATATGACTAAAAGCTCCCAAGATGACTCCACCTCCGGCCAAAACTGCCCCCATGAGATATCTCAAGCTGACAGCCCATGCATCAACACCAGGAGCCAAGGTAGATCTCATGTTCGATACCCATCGTACATATTGACCAGAAAAAATCAATGCAACATTGGCAAATAGCCCAAAAAGTGGATCTACGCTCGTATCGATTCAAACAAGTGGAATGATGAAAGGCATCGAGTGAGGTTTACTTTTCTTCTCTATTTCCATCACTATTCGCCTTGATATTGACAAAATGCTTATCAAAACTTACAATACTTTTTGGCTTCGTCGACAGTCGTCACTTCGTTGGCAAATCCCCAAAACAAAAGGGAAGCCACAACACTTCCCCACATCTCTGCCATGACGTAAAATGCAGCGAACGACCAATTACGAATGATTGCCAAGGGAGCGGAAAAGCCAGCAGGCAAAGCTGATGCTAGCATATCGCAGAACGCATGAGGGTGGAGCAGAGCACGTTGGGGATAAATTACCAATGCAAACATGGAAAAAAAAGCCAAAAAGGGCCAAACGCAGGTGTAGAAGACGTCCTTTTGTTCCATTTTGTTTGTCAGGGAGGCGTAAAGTCCCGTGAATCCGATAGCCGCTGGCAAGTTAACATACGTCTTGATAAATGGGATAACCTCTGCACCACTTTTTGGTGCTGTGACCATCAAGACGTCTTTGGTATCTCGTAAGATGGTGTAGTTAAACAAGATTGCAAAAAACATCAAAGCTAATGGAACCAATTTTTTACGTTCTTCTTCTGGAGGAACGATCGATTTTACCTGATCAGGTTTTAAGATTTCACAACAAGTTGGCCAACATCCATAAAAATGAACAGCAAAGAATGGTCGAAAATGAGCATCCGAGGTGCAATCAAATAGAAATGGGCTCGAAATAGAAAAAACATATCACATGATACGATCAATTGTTTCAATGCTTCCTTGAGTTGTTCAAAGCACACTTTCAACGTGGTAATTGAATCCGAATCTCTCTTGTTGTCATATTTCATTGTCGAATCGATCACAAACAATGAATTTCTGTTCGCATCATACCTTATCGAATAGACCTGACTTCTTTTCATCCCCTGCTGATGCTGAAACGTCGGACATAAGCGGGCCAATTAGTTTCTTCTTGTCATCATTCTTGCGCCACCACTGTCTCGACACAGATGTTGGTCTTCCTCCGAAGCGAGAAAACTTATCGGCGACGGAAGGTAGAGACGAGTGCATTGACTTGGACCGACAGCCATTGAAACTGCACGACGACGGCTGTATCTGTCGATGCTGAAAACAGAAACATGGGTCGACGACAAGACCCAAGAAAATGGAGAAACTGATTGCCAAAGTGCTTTTCATGATAGTATGAGTGAAGAGTGCTATGCAACACTTGGATCAACCTATTCAACGAAATTTTGTTTTGGTTCTGTGGATGGGGGATCTTTACAGAGTTGGGAGTTTCCCACTAGGTAAGTCAACAATTACAAATTTGGATTCAATCTTCTCGATTGATTGAATCGAWGATGCCGTCGTTCGTCGTGTCTTGACGAGGTCGTAGGATTATTTCTGAAATCAAGTGCGATTGTTTTTATGGTGCGTAATCGTACGGGTGAAATGAGGGTGTGCGAATAGAATCAATCGGATCATCATCACCTTCTCGACCTGTGATTGGCTTTGGAGAAAATAACGAGTGATGGGGCGATTCAATCCCATCATAAAAACGAACGCTTTCTTTCTCTCATTTTTGGAAGAGATTCTATCTTTCGGCTTGTTCGAACACGTGGAACCCCAATTGTAACCTGGAACAACATGCGATGGAGAATGTGTCTCACAGTCTGTCCATCGTCCACTTTGGAGGGGTAATTGGAAGTACATCAAATACCGTACAGTAAGCAGGGGTCATAATTTAGGAGGGGTGCGCAACGCGTCGAAATCGATATTCCATCCTTGGTACCAATAAGAAAAATTTCCCACAGAGATTTTTTTTCATCTCATTTTTACTGCATAACTCTGCATAAAGTGTACCTGAAAGACCTCATGCACAGGAACACTTCCAATCACTCTCTGATTTTCAAACTTCATATGCACATCTCTCATACAGTTGAGAGTCAAGTAGTAAGTGTTTCTTGGATGTTATTGCTGTTTGTTGTTTGTTGTTTGATGTACTGATATAGGGCTGGTAGTACCACCACATTAGTACTGTAATTCTAGTACAAATAGTCTGCCCTTCATCCAATTTTGTGAAACCAGTCCAGTCCCTAGCAAAAATTCGAACAGTCTGTCCTTCATCCGTTTTGCCTTCTAAATCACCAGTAGTGGTTCTACTAGTAAAATGGTCTTTTATGAACAATAAAATGATAGCACAACAATGCATTTGATATCAAAGAAAATGGTAAATTCAGAATCCTCACAAAAAGGTGGTATAGGTGCAATAGTTTAAAATTATTATAGTGGTATTTTTGATAAAGTTATGACTAGTACTCACAAGTTGAATAGTTTTACTCCTAGTAGTAGTATTATTCAGTAAAAATAAAATGGAAAAAAAAGTTTATGGGAAATTTTTCTTATTGGTACCACGGATGGAATGGATTTTTTTTCATCCTGATGCTGAAAATCGTGCGCGTTGCACACCCCTCTAAATTATGACCCCTGACAGTAGTACGTACCTCACGAACTGAAGTAGCGTAGAAAAGAAGAAACTCGTACGTACTTCTTGTAATTCGAAGTACTATGTAATTATGATTCTAATACTTTTCAGGTAGTACCATATCGTTCGTAGGTACCAGTTAATTTGATATGAAGTGCGGAAACCGTAAAAAGCCTACGGTACGACACGTACATAGCAAAAAAGCATTCTACTCAAACGCCAAAATCATTACTACTATAAATTGTGGTTAATTTTGAAGCCCAGTATTTAGTACTGATCCTACATAGATCTACTAGTTTTTGGTCACTTTTTGACCGCAAACAGTGTAATAGGACATTAAGAACTGCTCCAGTATGGCCTGAGAGCAGCTGTTCTTCTTCTTTGGGGAAAAGCTTCCTAATAGTGTTGGGAACAGTACCATGTGTCATTTTTACATGATTATACTACTAGGCCTTGAGGGAGTCGGTTCTCCAGTAATGGCCAATATGAGAAAAAATGGTGGGTGGAGACGGCCAGCTGCTGGTTAGAAAATAGGCCAGAACTCTATCAAAAAACAACTCTACTAGACCACCAGACTAATCGCCCAGTCCAAGTTGATATAATTACTTATAGATCCATGTCATTGGTGGGAAGCCAAATGATGCTCTAGTGGCTTAGAAGTTACAAGTACTAGTAATGAGGGGTCAAAAATTGTTAATTCTACTAGGGGTAATTTTATTATGAAGTAACTGGTACTGTACTGGTAGAGAATAGAATAGTCATTGAATTATCCATGCCATGGGACATGGGATGGATATGGGTTCTTCTCCTTAGACACAATACGTCCGATTAGTACAAGAAGTATTTGGTTTTACTTCTCTCCTGCTGGTAGTAACCTCACACCTATCCAGGAAGGGGAAGGCTGCTGCCATAAGGAAAGAGGAAGACAAAATAAATAGTATAAGAAGAGTGATTTCTAGCACAAGCATAGTGATGATTAGAGCTAGGAGGAGAGCTCATATTTCAAGGAATAGAGAATAAGATAGAGAACACTTTATTTGACTCAATCCAATCTTGCCGTAATTCAACCATCTCRACAGAAGTAGTAACTCACCAGAGCATCCTCAATACTAGCAATATACAAGGAGTATGAGTCAAGAAGAATTGTAATTGGGTACAAGTTTTCATATTCTCTATTCCATTAGTAGCATCATGCTATGTCATGTTAATTTTTGGGGTTAAATTTTCGATTGGCCTTACTGGTATTAGTAGCACARCATTCATCGTACTACGATCGGAGACACCTTACATCACCACAAATGTATGCTTGTATTGAATGAWATTATGCGTTACTTAATCATGATTGTTAGTTCTAGCAGYTGTGGAACGCAGCCACCGTATCGAGCGTCACAGTAGGCGTTTCAGAAAGGTTTGGCTTGCTGGTTMTTTCAAGAATGAATTGCTCCATTCACTGGMTTGGTCWCTATCCGGCATCGATGCCAAASATATACTGTAGTTGAGTAAATAAATTACTTATCTTCCGTTCACYGGCACAAAGAGGTACAAGTACACGAAAAATCTTGTWCTTTCTMTCTACTCGCCCAGCCTAGATGACGGTTCATTTCTTTTTGTTTTRACGGTTTCAAGTCCTATTGGTATTCATGTTTCACCTATCTTGTTTWAAAAAACTGACTGWAGTTTTTCGACAGTGAAGCATCGTTGGTTCGAGCAGCTGYACAGGAAATTGTTTTYATTAGTCCGAACTCGATGTTTATGTTGGTAGAAATACGATGAGCAAAACGACAGGAGTCGCTATTATTATGGTGAAACCAGGATTTGCGATGGCACATGCATTCAAATAATAKCACCAATTCGCTTTTTATGGTTTACCATAGTTGTTGCAAATATAGGCCTATGCGGCGAAAGAASGTGAACGAAAAACAAAAAGGCAACACACAAATAGGACMGCGACTCATAGTTCCACCCTTGTTAAGCAACTGTTCAGATCTCTTCTAGTTGTTGCATTGAATTCTGGCGCGATGATTTCAAAAAGGATAATTTATAATAGATTATTCTTCGTCGAATACGTAGGGTTCGTATGCGATGTTTGCGTCCTTCAATTTCGTTTCCAATGTTTGGATGTGGGTCTTCAATTTTGCGTTTTCCTTGGTGAGCATCGGGATGGTTACGAGTTTCTTTTTTGCCCCATTTGCCGCCCCGTTGACGCCATTTTCGGCCATCGATTTTGGATCCAATGGCATTGTTTTGGGCATCTTAGACGAACCGCCAACCCATTCGGCGCACGTGTGAGCGGCACTTGGTGCCGGRCAGGGTGGAAAAATGTCGTCTTGGAAAGCTTCGGACTTTCTTGGGACAATGAATTTGAGCGGATGGATTCCGTCCGTATTGGTGATTTTCAGTAATCGAACCGTTTCGCAACTCATGATGTCGAGCCCACGCTTGGGGACCATGCAATAACCCTTTCCTGGAGTCGTCGATCGGAATCCATCGTTGAGTTTGTGAAGATGCGGTTGYTTGCTTTCATCGAACTCATAAAGACGGATCTGACCATCACCCTTACCACATAAGTAGATCACCTTAGTGCCTTGATCATACAAAGGCATCAATGCACCAGAGGCGGTGTCGACGGGTTCGACTTGGAGAGGTTTGGAGAGGTTCTTCAAATCCCAGATTTTCATTTCTCGTCCGGATTGTTTGTTCGCACCGGTCGTGAGGAGTTTTCCGGCGGCGCCTTCGTTGCAAAGCCACTGAATTTTTGTCGATTTGGAGCCTTCGTGGGCAAYATCAATTTTTGTTGTTTGCTCTCCCGTTCTCGCGTCAATGATCTTGACGGATTTATCCTTGTTCGAGGTCGCGTAATTGTCACCTCGAACGTCCCAAACGATGTCCTGTGTGAGGTTACTGCATTCCAAGGATGAAATTGCGGAACCTGCTTCGATGTCCCACACCTTGACGGTATAATCTGCGGAAGTACTCATCAAAGTATTGCTGGCAGTTGGATGAAACCTACACAGGGTAACTCTCTTTCTGTGTCCTTCGAGATCTAYCAGGGACTCGGAGAAGTCATCACCCTTCYTACCCATTCCTTTTTCGTTCGTAGGTTCCCAATCGTCTGGAATTGACCAGAGCTTGATAGTCGAGTCTTCTGATGCAGTTGCCAGCATCGAGTCATCGAAGGGATTCCAATCCATGTCCAAAACGGTGCCAGTGTGACCCTTCAAAATAGGGGACACTCCGTCCTCAAATCTTCCCGGACGATCGTGTCGTCCGATTACCATAGGACCACCTCCACCAAACATAGCTACGGACCAGTATTTTGTCGATGCCTTGATGTACTGTTGTTCTCCGGTTGCCGTAGCGACACGAAACCCAGTGTAGCACATCTGCGAGGAAAAAAAATAGTAAAAATTTGCAAATCAAATCCCAACGACCGTAAGACGCCGGTGTCATACCGATGATGGGTTCGACGTACCAAGATCAGCCGTACAGAGAGGAATTCGTTAGAAGGCAGCCGTGAGCATATTACATGAGAGCTTTACGAGAGCAAAGTTCATCTTCGTCAAGAGGCTCATCACAGGCTTCCAAACACAAGCCSACCGTCACGTACCTGTTGCTTTGGGGCGTCACAATAGACATGACGGTATTTCGATTGTCGGATCTTAAACATTGTTATTATTTAGATCCTTGTTCGGTGTTGAACGTAACGTTACCCAAAAGGTTGGTTRATGGTGCAGCACTATACTTTAGTTGACGACGTGTTTGTGAAACCYTGCGTGCTTCAGATTCCAAGAGATACGGTCGCTGTTAGTATTCTGCTAAGTATCACTTGGCKGTGAAGGTCTTTTGTGTCCTTAATTAGACAGACTACGTTCAAAATCTGGTTGGAACGAAGTTGGTGCTTATATCGTCGTTGTTATTGAGCTTATTCAACCAAGGCGACTGCCATGCGCATTTTGATAATTGTTGTGTAATTTTTCTGGCTGTTCTCGTTGTCGTTGTAGTATCATTTTACGGTAGTTTGTCGTCCGTAGTACACGATTAGTAGTCATCAAAAAAAACAAATAAAAATGATAGATTCAAAAAAGGTTTTCAGCCCGCATGACCTCTGCGTTGCAAGACTCCTCGTAGGTGCAGTACGTATCTGACTACGTGTTTTAGCAACGGCAAGAAAACCAGARACGTTTAGATGGTTCACGAGTACGTAGTGAATGAAAAAATATTCGTTGCAGAACGTTCCGATTTACCAGTATGGTAACACCTGGAAATTCGTACGGTAGAGAAATTGGATAATACGATACCGTACAGAATCCTTCGAATCGAGAGGTACGTAGCAGGCGTACCGGTACGTAAAGCTCGATTACAAAGAGGTGCGTCCAGTACGATTGGCTACTGTGCACTTTTTACGGTTGCTACATTATACTACGTACTGTACAGCACAACGTTTGTTTTGAACCAGGAACCGGATACAGTTCTTGGTTGTTTCGTTAACCTTTGCATAAGGAGTAGCACGTACGGTGCACAACGTAATCTACGGCTCTAGGTCCTTACAGTACATGTACGTACGAGTATTTCGGTACGGGGTAACAGTTTTGCGGTGGAAAAAAATTGAAAACCAGAACTCGTTTGAATTTTAGTTCATTTTGATTGATTGATTCAAGCGAAAGAATTCTACTTTGCTCTGTTGCAAATGTGATGGCAAATGAGTTTTACACCAAYATTACTATTAAGATTACGGATCCTACTAGGAGTTTCATAACCATGATTTGCTATGACATTTGAGGAATGCATCTGTTCTTCTTTCTACACTTTTAACTACCAACCTATCTATATGTCTTCCTCCTACACCACTTCGTAATCACTGGCATCGTCTCAGACAAAAAAAAGAACTGCTTTTCACTAGATGATGGCGGTAATCAAGTTGGCGAACTAGTATGTACACACCCCAAATCAACTAAATCATARGAGTCAAGTAGAAAATCACGGTTCCTGCAACCTTGAAAATGTTAAGGAGTAACACTACTTTCATATTCTTTCTAGCGTTGGTCATCGTTCATCTCATACGGGCTTTTGGTCGTCGGGGAGGCCGTCAATCATGCTCTTTCGAACCGCTTCCACGAGTTCTTCTTCGGTCTTGTCATCGGATGCAATTGGTCGGTGCACAACGACTTCTGCGAGTCCCCAGGCCGGTCTCATAGCCATCATCCAGCCGGTGGGCATAACCTTGTYGGAATGTACGATCGAAATAGGAAYGACCGGTGCTCCCGCCTTGTGGGCCATTTTGAAGGCCCCGGCCTTGAACTTCATCATGCGGCCCGATCGAGATCTAGTTCCCTCGGGGAAGGTGGCGAGATTAAATCCGTCCTGCGTCAATCGAAATTTGCAYACGAGTATTGTTTCATACAATATGCGATGTCTAAGTGAGAACGCAGAACACAAGATTCGGAGCAGGCACGAGACGATATGTTGATCTCAAATCAYACCGTGACCAATGACACGGTGAAAACACCAAGCATCAAGCGGTACGCATTACGCAGTGGCAGCCATCGTACACACGCACCTTTTTCAAGTAATTAATCCCTTGTTTCAGAGTTTTGATTTGCGATCGTCGATCGGTTCGATCGACCATGATGTGGCCACCGGCTCGCAGAGCGGTTCCTAGGATCGGAACAATTCCAAGTTCCTTTTTCGAAACAATTTTGTAGTTTCTCCATCCCATGACAGCTCCCAAGAAAGGAATGTCCATCCAGCTGCAGTGGTTGGCGACGAACATTGCGTTTGGCTCTTTTCCCTCCGCATTCTTGTTCTTGAAAAACTCGGWGATGTATTCACGGTTGTGGATCTTAGGATAACACCTAGTCAGTCTCATGAGTGCCATACCCCAGCAATGGCCAACGAAGATGGGAACGCGTCTCTGCGGTGCGTAAGTAAAAAAKTGGTGACAAGAATAGAAAATAGACGGGTTCAKCAGGTGAGATATTTCCCGAACGAAGAGACACAAGACGCATACGTCGTGCGGAGCACAAGCATTGCACAACGAAAACGGAAGTGAYGACGGTACCACAGCTATTGGAACAAGAGGATTTCCACTTATCGCATTGGACGAAAAGTTGACCCCATTGATAWTCCGTGGCTCTCTCGAAGAGGYGAGGCGTTGTTTCCAACTATGTGCCTAACCTCCGATCGGACCGCACCGYATTGTGTCGCATCAAATACCTCGTTGCCGCGCACACGTACCCCAGGATCGAATCGGTTGCCGGTTATCTTATACAACAGTTGGCAGGTCGAAGCAAGGATGAACCACGGGATTCCTAGCGCAATCGACACAAAAAAATAATATAACGCAAACGGATTCAGAGCTCCAATGGGTGTGTTGATAGMGAACGGGCCGCCCTCTTCTCGCAGTTCTTTCCAMGTTTTTTTTTCCTTGGAAGCCGCTGGTGATTTGTCGCTTGCGGTCGCGTCGCCACTGGAGGCAGACAAGGGCGTGGTAAGGCTCGTCGACGAGGCCCGGGGCTGAAAGAGCTGGAATGGTGCGCCGACCGCTCTGTGTGGGGTGGCTAAAGAAAATCCGTTCGCGAAGGGGCTCGTCACCAATCCCAAGAAGGCCGCCAAGACCGATAAACTTGCGAATCGTTTCATAGTACTAGTTGGAATGTTTCGTTTCCCTGGTGGCTGATCCGTATGGTATTTTCAGATATTGCTGTTGCCCTYACGACTAAATACCTGTCTCTCTTGCTAGTCGATTCCTCTATATCCCGTGGGTGGATTGGTGAAAGAACGGCCTGGTTTGGCAGCGAGACTAGAGTTTGTGAGTACCTAACAAAAGATGGCCGACGTTGATGCTGATCGAGCAATCCTCGTGCTATTTGATACCGTTCTACCGTACGATATTCCAACTATTACCATACCGGTACCGTACTACGTGTATTCAGTTGTCGAAAACGTACTAACGGTACGAACCGTAAACCGATCATCCGATGTCGTTTCTCTCTGTTCGATGGACGTTACTGTGTACGTCGTCGTGTCGACGAATGAGCGATCGGTGATGCGATGACGCTCTTCAATCAAATTGAAGCTTTCWCGGTTCGAGGGGGTACGAGAAATTATTTATTTATTTTATTTATTCTAGTTCTAAATTTTGGATACGACACGTCATCTGTCATCTGTCATCTGGTGCAACAGTACGAGTACTGGTACGAACGGTACACTACCAAAACMACGAGAAAAGGAGTTTTTAGTTTTCACTACTTGCGGTGTGATCACTCGTACCAGTACCGAAATTCGACTCGTCTGCTTCAAATATCTGTACCGGTAGCTTACTGTATTACCCATCCACAGTATCTACAACCTCATCAAAGAACAAAAAAGCAAATGGTTCCGATGAGATTGTTGCTTGGAATTTTCACCCGTGGGGCTGCGATTGCCTCGCTAATTGTGATCTCYGCTGACATCRCAGGCGCCTTTTCTGCTGGGGGCCTTCGAGGTGCACTCCGGACCTCCGCAGATTCATGTACTCTCTCTCGTTTGTCCCAGTCCACGACGGAGTCTCCAGAGGGAGAAACGGCGAGTGCGAGCGGCACAAGGGAGCGAAAAATTGCCATTCTCCTTTGCCCTGCCCAGTTCTGTGTCCCGGAGGATTATTCCGACCTGTGGGAGAGGCTTCCACCACACATAGAGCTCGGCGGCCGCGACGGCGACGATTCGACAACGACGCGCATCGTTATCGACAAAGACAGGTCGACGGTGGTCCCGCTTTCCCGAAGGGACTGGATCAAGGTTGCGAAGCAGTTGCCCACGCARGATTTTATCGACGCAAATCTCCGGGTCCACAAGACACTGGATTGGTACTTTGAGGCCATCGAAGATGGATTGAAGGAGATTATCGACGGCRGCAGTGACGTCGACGGAATTTGTCTGGTAGGACACAGCATCGGAGGTTGGGTAGGACGAGCCTATCTCGGAGGGTTGGCTCGGTAGGTGCTGCTGTTTGGTCTKTGATYTTCTTTCTTGCGSTTTTGTGCGGTTGTTCTTACAATCTTTTCGAAATTCCTCCCCGATCCAAAATTCTTTACCTCTCCATTTATTGTCCCTTTGTTTGCGCTTCAAACATCCAGATCCTCGACAGCGGTCTCAAGGATCGTGAAGGACACGAACATGATATCGTCTTTTATCACCCTAGGCACACCGCACGAGTCTCCCGGAACGGCACTGGTGGACCAGACGCGTGGTTTGCTCCGAGAAATCGCCGAAACACCCGACTGTTCCTCCGCTGCCCTTGCGGACGAACGGGGGATCGACATCACCTGCGTTTGCAGCTCGAGCTTGCCAGGAAACTTCTTCACCACTAACGTCGAAGAATTCGTGGCTGCCAGTTCCTACCTGCCCCTGCTCGGCAAAACCGATGGCAGTGTCAAGGGGGACGGGATCGTCCCGTTGGACCTGGCGTTCATGGAAGAACCGGCGCGGAAGGTGGTTCTGTCCGAGTGTCCCACCACGGGGCGGCCGATACGGCACATCCACGTGCTTCCGACACCTTGGAATCTTTGGGATGCGTCCGCGAAATCRATCCCACTAGACGACACCGATGCTACCTCGTACACAGCAACTGAGATCGTTGCGGAGTGGGCCAAGTTCATTCGGTGATGGAAACAGAGCTCTCAAAACGGAAATTTCAAAACCCAACGAAGSTGGCAGTTGTTGGAACACCGCATCGATTGATTCTCAGCCCAATTGAATTTTTGTTGTTCTGACAGCGTGYGATCCATCCGAATTTTCACGAAGCAAACAYAACAATCGCAACTTCGTACGGACAACACGAAACCGTCAGAACATTCGAAAATATTCATAAATTTGGTACTTGATCTGTAGCTTCAATTTTTATGTACATCAGTRTTGGAAGAAATCCCTGGTGTCTAWTGTGTCAATCTCGATTCTACAKTAAGCGCGTGAGCTGGAAATAGAACTATYTGAGTTCTATATCGTTATTATTTTAACAAAGCCTGCGCTCTTCTCAAWGCCGACGAGCGAAGGGGGTTTGAGGTGAGATTCGATGGTGAAAACCGCACGTGCAACGGTAGGTTYTCGCACTTGTTTCCGAGCCGYGGCAGGTGCAGATAGGCGTCCAATCCGTACCCCTCGAGGCTTTTCAGAGTGAGTTCTCCCCCGAGATATCTTGCATAGATTCGGGCTAGAGGCAAGCCGAACCCGCGGATCGCCGCACCAGTGATTTCATCGACACCGAAGTCTGTTTCGTTCTCGATTTCGTCCTGAGCCGACGTAGAGTGCGCAAAGTGCCAGATTTCCGACATTTTGGATCGCGGTATGCCTCCACCCCGGTCCGCGATTTTGATGGTGACATCCTCGGCCCCCTTCACGATAACGATTTTAATGGGGGGAATTTTTTCGGTAGATTTGCTTTCRATGTGCCTCTTTACCGTCGCACGGCATGCATTCTTCAGCAGTTCGCCCACCATGTAGTGCAAATGATGGGGGACGTACGTGAAGTTGTTCAACTCTTTCCGATGTGCAGCTATGTCCCCGTCCACGATTTGTATTTCAGGGCAAACGCCGTCTCCATAATATTCCATAGTTTGTTTTCGAACGGCTTCTACCACCTTACGAACCTCTCGCGTTGGACAGCAATCGGGCTCTATGCATCCCAGAAAGGAATCATCTTCGTCAACCTTCTCCTCACCGMGTGGCAGTTTCGCTGCCCGCGTTGGGCTACTCAAGATATGGTGTTCCGTGAGAAATCTCAATCCCACTCTGGCCGTGAAAAACCGATAAAGTGCGTCTTCCATTTCCTTGACTCTTCGTTTCCGTTCCTTCTCTCTTGYCTCCACATCTTCTTCGTTGTTGTCGTCTCCGCCGTCTCCCTGAACTGTCCACGTGTCGTTTTTCATCCATGCATCGACACCCTGTGCAATCGCGTTCGGGATCGAGGATCGTTCCAAGACCATGCTCTGTAACATATCCGTGAACTTATTTTCTGACTCGACATCAGTAGGGATTGGACACTCTTGAAATTTTTCGAGGTACAGCAAATATACATGTGCGACTCGCAACACGGCCGGTATCTCGTTCAATCCATGGGGCAGTGTTAACAAATCCACAGCTCGTTGAGCAACCCGTACGGGCAATCTATCGATTTTTGATGATGCGCATCACCGTCATGCGAATAGCAAGTAATGATGATGATTTATTTATTCGTGGATTCAGTTTCAAGAGACGAAACAAAATGAGTGATGTGAGCTGGCACGTCTTTTTCATACCATGCGTTTAATCCCAGGCTCGAAAAAATGCGAGCCATCAAAATAACAAAAAACCGAACGGAAMAAACTCACTCGGAATGCAAAAACTGCGCATTTCGTATCCGTTGCTCCCGATTGTTAGCGTCAACAATTGCGTATTTGTACATATCTTTTAGGGCCAACGGCGTTGTTTTCTTCGATGCCAATTTCATKAGTTCTTCCATGTCGACACCCACCGTCTCGGGAAGAGGCGGCTTATTACTGGCACTCGTGGGCAGAGAAAAGAGAGRTTCCGGATCCGAAGCATTATCCTTCGCGACGGCCTCAGAGGACGATTTTGATGACGAGGAATGAACCACAGAAGAAAGAGAAAAGGATCCCGACCCCAACRACGAAACGATTGGTTTCTTCCATCCAGATGCCGGGGGATTATTCGTCCCTCTCGCAACAAGCCCCTGTGCGGTGGCGTGTGTGTGTGCATGTCGTCTATTTGCCACCCTTTTTACTACCCCTGTCTTTGAAGAGCTTTTGTGGCTACCACAAGGACCAGAATTTGTCGATTGCTGCTGAATCAAATGCGGATAGGAGTACTCCACGACGTGAGCTGTAGTTGCGGGGTTTTGGTGTCGAATTTTGTAGTGCTGTGGTTGGTGATGGATTTGTATTTCATGGCTGCTCGAAGTCTGGTGGTGTTGATTTTGATAATGACGAAGAATGAGTGGAGCTTTCATCAGGACCCTGGAAGTAGGAGCGGGCGTTGGAAAAGAGGACGGCGTGGGGACCGTCGACAGAAGTGGCACATTATTAACCCCTTGCCTCGTCGTTCCCGTCACCAAATCGGATGAAATCAATTTCAGAGGGCAACATCGACGTTCCTTTCGTACTGCTTTSGATAGCAATCGTGAGCARGTCATGATATTGATTGTCTAGCAACCACACAGTTTTAGTGAAATAGGAAGGAMGCTACCGGTAGGGTTACCGTGAGGCACAGAACGTTCACACCGACCTCTCTGGTGTAGAAATATATATTGCTCCTCCTGCTGCCGATGGAACCAAAATAGTGTAATTCAACGCTGTGAATCGATGGGACAGTGTCGTATGAATCGGTGCAAATGAATTTGCGTCARCGATACAGCCTGCTTCCGAAGGTGRTAAAAGTTTTTGTTGCACTTCCGGTTCCAGCTTTCTTGCTGCCGAAGGCAGGTCAAAAACGGTTTTYGAGAACCTTGATGGGCAGGTGTCAGTCATACCGTACGGTAGCCTAGAAGCAGTACGGTAGGAAACTAGTACTCGTGCTACTTCACCACAATCTTGYCAAGAAAATCAAGCTGCATTGCCGAGGGCAACCCCACGGAGTATCGTCGCAACCGTTGGAGGAACGACGAAACGAAATCACAAGTACATTTCGCAAAGGATATTTACGTTCCAGAACAACAGAACGTTCAGTCGTTTTCCGAAGGTGATGTCATCCATTCGCCGCGACCAAAATGACGTCTGCTATTCGAATATGCCCCTATACATGTACATATGATATATACATATTATAAATACATATTATTATAGATGTACATGGCATTTCCCTGGCCGGTGGCCGGACAACTGACACCTGCAGCAAAAATAAACATCACTTTTTTCAACTAGATCACAATTTCAAKAAGTTCGACGATTCCAAAAACCTGTTGTAGAAGATCCAAACGGTGTTTCTAGCGCAGCAAGCAAGTCGACCACTTTCGTCGTCATTCGTGGACAGAATATTGCACACCATTGCGTTGTTCTTTCGCMTTAATACGGGTACTCGTGCCCTGAAGGTACCGGCACTCCTACGATCWGCTATGGAGATTGAGGACAGAAAAAGATCCATCTGGACAATCAAGCGGCCTGATGACGAAGCCCCAATCTCATCCTCGTCGATGACCCTGAAAACTTCGATGCAAKCCTCGTCGGCGTTGTCCCCAAAGGTGATCGTATTACTGGTTGGGTGGTGGGGCGCAAAGCCTAAAGACATAGGAAARTATTCAGCCCTTTATCACGGCATGATGCCATGTGTGACAGTGGCAGGAGTGGCCGATTCTACTGACATMATGTTCAAGCGGGAGGAAGGTTTGAAAAGATTTGCGCTGAATGGATTGGAAACTGTCGATGAAGTACACTCAGAATATGATGCACTCGAATTACCAGTTGTGGTACATTTGTTTAGCAATGGGGGAGGATTTGTTTGGCAGCACATGTTGAAAATCCTAGATGAAAGCGACGATTCGAAGTCGATGGAATTGCAGGACCATGTGCCACAAAATACGGCATCGGATACAAATYAYGTGGGATCTGCCACAAGTCCTTTYGGGACGGAGAGAATTCCATTGCATCGAAGCACCAGACTTTCTGAACTTAGAACGAATATCAAAGCACTCATAATGGATTCTTGCCCCGCGTACCCAAAACTTTCTTCTGGGATGGCAGCATTAGAGGGSAGTCTTAATGGAAAGGCAACGTGCTTGTTACCTCTTGTGAAGGCGATGTTTTTTCTCTTCCATGCCTCGGGATCCCTTTGGAATTGGTTGTGGTGTCGTCCGAGTCCTTTGAAGCAATTTTGGAACGAATTGCTTACAAGCTCGTTGAAAGTACCCCAGGCGTTTGTGTATAGTACGGTGGACCGGATGGTGGATCATTGTTGTTTGGAAGACTTCATYGAAACTCGCAGGAACAGCATGGCACRCGACGTGTCGGTTCTAAAATTCAACGACACACCGCACGTCCAGCACTATCGATATTACCCAAATGAGTATAAGGCCTTCGTGAACAATTTTTTGACGCAGTGTTTGCATTGACTATGAAATGAAAGCCTTTGACACTATAAATGCTGCTGATTATAAMGTTTAGTGCTAACAAAATAGCTCCAGTAGGTGTTTGTAGTAGCATTACTCATCAATACGGTAATACATACTATTTTTTTCTGTATCAGTTCCTGTTTCTCGTACCGGTAATACGGTGAAAAATTAAGACAGCAGTACAGTACTGYACTTCTAATAGTTACAGTACTATTACTTTCTCYTTCCCAAATCTTGTGTTGTCAMAGGACCTCTAGGCTTGAAATAAGCTCAACATTTGGGCAATTTCACTGCTTGTTTTTGCATTGCACTAATCTAATCTTGTGACGTTACTATCTTATCTTATACTATATTATCTAATCTACTACTAGTACAAATAACAATATCTACTAATATTATCTTAAATTATATTATATTATCTTCTAATCTAACCTAACCTAACCTAATCTAATCTAATCTAATCTAATCTAATCGTGCTAATTGTAGTATACACTTGTGTTAAAGGTGTCAAGTGTTCATGGTTAGTAGTACAAGGAGAGTCATTTTTGGTGTATAATTGTGTAATTTTTACTGTCAGTTGGACTCCTCTATCAGTCATTTAAGGACATAGCTTGCAGCTATAGAAAGCCAGACTTCTAAGGGCTCCATTATGATATTCTTCTTGTACTTATCAAGCATGTTCCTGTGCAGTCATTGTTGATCACTACAGCAAGCCAAAAACTGCTCAGGCATATTGGATTTTTCAGCTGAAGASAGTGATGAAAGGTAAACACTTTAGAAGAAGATGTGCGACAAGCATGCTGGTACAAACTTGTCCCACATGTTATTCTTTAYATATTTATTTCACTCTTATTGGTTTTATTACACCTATTTTACTCTTTGTTTGTCAATTCTTGTCTTTCTATTCTGCTGCTGACTAAAACCAAGTCCTTTTTTGTTGACAAGCTTGTTGAGCCCTTGGACCTCAAGTGATTCAGCAGTGCSACTACAAATAGGGGATCAATTGTGTGTCTATCACACCTCTGTTGCCAACCACAAAGAGGGATTCATCGTCTGGTCTGCTCTCCTGCCTCTACCTGTTCTTAGTTCCACTCAGATGTTCATCTACAAATAGCACCTTGCATCTCCCCCATTGCCAACCACTGATAGGAGATCCATGAGGAAATGATCTGCTCTCCTGCCTCTGTTGCTTCCACTGATAGTGGATCTGTTTTACTACCTTACCTCTCAATTGTTCCCACTGATATGGGGCTCTGAAGAAAGTAGCAGCAACCTAGTACGGCATATCAACCATGGCTGCTGTTGGGCAATTTGGCTATCATGTTACAAGCAAACTGTGGATCCAATTACATGCCTCCTGTGACATCCTTCTTTCTAGAAGATGTGGTAAGTGCTCTGGTAGGACACAGATATTGCTATTAGAATTGGAGGCACTCTGTATTATTCCAACATAAGATTGCTGTGATYTCAGGACTATTGGTACATCTGTGACTGGCATTCCCAGGTCCTTTCAACAAAAACTTGTCAGGTGTGATGCAATAAAGAAGCACAATGGAACTACTAAGCCAATTCTACTGACAGATAAAAATAAGCTCAATTGAGTTGAATGGATCCTGCAACACATTGATGACAATGGTGGYAGGTTTGATGATTGGTTCAAATGGGTTCATGTCAATGAAAAGTGGTTTTACTTAAAAAGCAAAAAGTAGACCACATATCTGCTTCTGGATGAAGATGAGCCCAAGTGTACATTGAAGTCAAAGAACCATATGACAAAAGTTTTGTTTGTTTGTGCTGCTATCCACACAGAAATGCTTGGCTTGATGGAAAGATTATGATTTGGCCCTTTAAGATTAGGATTTGCCATTCTGTTGTGAAAGACCCAGAAAAAAGAATCTCTGCCAACCAATGGACATGAACCCTGGTCGTGGTAGTAGTGACAAAGTCACAGTATGTCGCTGGTGAGTCCCCCTCCTGAGATTATCATTGAAGAGGACAGCACAAAAGATCCTCACAAGGTGTCTATCAGGGGCGATGTTGCAACAGTAGCAACAAGGGAAGCTTGGAATGTTCCTGTAGCAACTCAACTGTGAAATAGTCCTCATCTAAATGTGCTTGATCTTGGATTCTACAATACAATCCAAAAATTGCAGTACAAGAAACATCAAAGACTCTTTATCATCTGAATAATATTTTTCATTCTGCCAGGCTATTAGCTTCATTGCACATACTTCAAACACTGCTCTTCATGTTTTGTCTGTGTGGAGGTGATGCACCTAGTTTATCTTCTAAAACAGTCATAATTGGGTTTGAAGAATCAACAGAAATGATGTGTCCTGATAAAAATTTTCCTGACGCAATATACTTCTTGAAAAATTGGTCTTCAAAGTCTTTGAAATGCTTGAAATCACCAGATTTAACACAATGGATTTTAAGAAAGCTGTCATTAGCATTCAATCTGTCAAGTAACTGGTGGTGTCCAAACATCTGAAGAACAATTAACCCTTTTCAAAGTGTTGAACAAATGTTCACATGCATCCCTTGTGTGTCAAACCACATGGAAGATAAAATTCACTTTCTTGAAATATTCTTGTTCTTACACAAGAAGWGTTACAAATCTTGGAACATAGTTATTCCTGTTCTGGCCTGTGCAGTAATATGTAATAACTTTCAGCTCCTTTCATGTTGTATCATTGCTGCACCACCAACCTTTCTTTTTAAGGTACATGCATAGTAATGAAGCCACTTAATTGCCTCCCTTTGCACCTTGTCCTTYGTGATAAACATATGCAGCAAGTAGTTCCCTGCCTTTTATTCCACAATCAACAATTGCAAAAATAAATACCATCACCAGCAGTCATGATGTACTATAGTATGTCTTCCCAGGCTGATTTGCACCTACTAGCTGGGGTAATTGATCATTTACACTGAAATTCATCACTATCGGTCACTGCTGCTACTATCTTTGATTGCAATAATTATCTGGTCTGCTGCTTGCTCAACATGAAGGCAAGCTTCCAAAACCAGCTCATTTGAATTAATTGATACACTCTTCTTCTCAAGATGAGGCTCCATTCATCTGAAGCTTCATATCAACAGGAGGTGTTGCATCTGGCTCTTGCTCCTGCTGATTACTACCATTGTTGGAACCATCATCAGATGAGCTATTATCATTGYAGATACCAATGATCTTCTTGCAGCAGAAACAGCATCATCTTTTCCCTTCAGTTTGTACTTCATCTGATTAT